TTTTTTATAACAAGCAGAATCCACGGGGAGAGAGAAAAGATGATTTTGTTTGATAAGGTAACGGAAAGCTGGCATTATTGTAGGTAATTTTGATGTTTTAGGTAAAGATATAATTATTTTGTTTAGGGTTGTATTGTTGCAGTTAATTCTATATCTTGTAGGAGGCATAAAAATTTTCCTTCATTTTTCTGAAAACCTTAGAGAAGATAATTTTTTGCCGCTTGATAGACAATTATGGAAGTCCAATGACGGATCAATCACTTGCATACTCATCCTCGTTATAACAATATAACGAGAGTTTGTAACGTCTCGACATCATCTGAACATTATGCTTTTTTCTATATGGAACATTATTAATGAAAGGTTATTGTGTAAATTAAAAAAACAAATCCAAAACCCAACCTTGTTTGTAGAAGATGGAAAGGCCGAAATCAGTGGCCTTGAGCAGGGTGGCCTCTTCCTTGCTGAGCAATAGAAAATTCTCGGGCTTGAGATCCCTCCGCGGGGAGGGGCCGCGGTGGTGGACGGCGGCTTGCCATTGGACGTGTCGACAAGGGCGGAGGCTTATGGAGACCAGTGTGGACCTAGGCCCACACTGGGAAAAAAAGTAAAAGACCTATGCATATAGCCTATATAATATGTCCAGACCAAAAAAAAAAAAAGAAATATAATTACAAGCCCAATAATAAGGCTTTAACAAACAAATTAAAATTACATACATTCCATATGGACTGACAGTTTTAACTTCACACAAGAATAAAGTTACAGAGACAAAGAAAAAGAGACAAAAATAAAGAAAGAGGAGAGAGATAAGAGAAAAAAGAGTCACAAAACTTATCAATTCTTGTTCCAATTGTTTGAGAAGACGACTTGCGAGGTAATGAAATACATTTATGCTTATATGAGTGGAAATAAAAATTATTCTTATTTATTTTTAGGTAATGATAAATATATTCTTTTTATGTAGAAATTGCAAATTCAATCTCTAAGGTGCTTATAGCTCTTTAAAGCATGATATATCAAAATAGACCGAATTTCATTATATATTTATAATATTTTTTTTGTATATCAAATATGGAGAGATATTTTTAAAAAATGCTCCATCAACAAAGTACTTGTGAAATGTCTCAAAATGAAATACTTTCAACCCAAATATATTTGAGAGAAATTCTGGTATCACTCGGCAGAAAATAAAATGAGAACGAAAGTTTAATGGTTATTG